AGTAATGGATACAAATGGATCATTAGATATGGTATATTTATATTTTTCAGAACAAATTTGATCAAGTTTCTTATTTGAGATTATCCCCACAAATTGCAGGTGGTAGACTTGATAAAAGGGTAATAGAAAACAAACAAGTGGTGAATGTTCAAACTGTGGTAAATTAATTAGTGGAGTACCACAGATATCTGTACTAGGACCAAAGCTCTTCCTTATATACTGTACAGTCGGTCGGTGTTAATGGTTTAGTTAGTAAACTAGTCAAGTTCACAGATCATACAAAAATACATGAATTGGTAAACACTGTAGAGACTGTAGAGAAATTTAAAAAATATATAGACAAAATTCCAACCAGTCAAACACCAAGCAGGTACAGTATCATTTAAAGGTAAGAAGTACAATGAGTTACCTGTATATACAGGTCACTTTATCATGTTTGTGCTCTTACGGTATATCTATAGTTCAGGTTAAAGTCTCTGTCACTTTCCAGAAAAAGCCAGAGTGCCTTAAAAAAATGCATTTCTGCATTAGAAACAGAGAAAATCAGTTACGTGCACTTTCACTTTTTCCCAGCTGAAGACACTTACTAATTATACCATTCTGATTTTCCTGCCTCCGTACTTTGACACTTTGCAATATCGATTAGTTCTTGGTTGTTAACAGTTTGTTAAGAGAGCGTATGACAAGAGAGAGGGTTAAATCGCCAGGTCGGAGTCACCCCATTCAGAAAAGTGCATGCCTCGCATTCTCTGGAGGAAGTCGGTGAGCTGGTGTTACCTGCAATCACCAGATGTCTATAAAGGCAGTGCCTGAGCAGTCTAGCAAGCTAGCAAACAGTAAGCGCTAGCAATCCGAGAATGATACAACTTTAGGAACAGTTTCTTTTTTTTTGCTTCCTTTTTTATGGTAGCAGCCTCGGGCGCTTTCCGCGTCGGGACGCCGGTAAAAAGAAGTCGGTTAATGAGCGTACCAGGCCAAACGGAATCGACCGGGTGAGGGTATTACCACTGCTACAGAATTCAACATACTGTAGTTTTTGGCTCAATGTTTTTATGTTCTAGACCCTCTATCACGCTATCGTTTAAGGGAAGGTGAACGTTCACAACGTTATAGAATTTAACATGAAGGAACGTACAATACTTCGAGCAGGAAAGCAACAACGTATATTTCGATTATCAAACGGTTGTTGCAGAATAAAAGAAAACAATGTACTGTAAGAAAGAGCCAGGATTTTATGTTGACAAATCGCTTTTATCAGCAAGCCAACCATGTACAGTTAAGCAAAGCAAAAGGGGAGGGGGGAAAAACGTTTGGATGCATTTTAAGTCTAGAATTTAAATGCACTTATGGTTTGATTACCCATTTAGGTATGCAAGTCATTGAACACTTATTTTTCTAACTAAATTTAGCCAGGAGCCAAGGGCTTAGGGGTTGTAATTTACTTCTTGTGCATTCTCTCTGCAAAACGTGCATTTCCATATAAATTGATTATTTCTGCTAACCCAAACGGGTGCTGTCGGATTACATTGACCACACTGACGTACTATAACACTTTTACAAGCTGTTCTGAATGACTGCTTACAGGCTAGTGACCTCCGCTCGGCAGCTGAGGGCACTCAGGGTGCCCAACTCTCCGACTCCTCTGTCTTGAGCACTAAGCAGCCATAAAGCCTTCATTGATGTCAACATTAAACCTGGGAATTAATGACCTATTCATCAGCTTCCACAGCCCTGGAACAACGTAACCTTTTAAAAAGACACTTTTAAAAGTTTAGTTTTTAATCATAAACCAGAATTTTAAATGAGGTCACAGATGTGGCTACCTTGCATGAAAACAAAGCTGATATCTTCTCTGGAGAGGCAGACTGCTTGGTGAAATGACTCTAAAAATATGAGTTGAAGACTATGGAGTGAGTTTTGTCATTGCTTGGGAATAATGGTGTTTGTGTGTAAGCAGAATGCCTTGTACAAGTTTTCCTAATTCTGCCCCTCTGGCTTACAATGTTTTCTGGATGTTTCTGCTCAGCTTTTGGTCCTTGTTAAATGATTAACTTATCCTTTAATTCAATGAGCTGAGTTAATGAGCTAACAGACTTGTGGAGTTAACTTCAAAGCTCCAGCAATTTTAGAGCTGTAAAAAGGGATTAAGTGAACTCCAGGTCCAGATGTTTAATGACATTAAGAACTTAACAAGTAAAAACAAATGAATGAAGAAAATGTCTAGGAATGAAAAATGGAAAAGTCATGATTGCATATGTTTTTAAGTTTTAAGATCATTAACCAGCATGATGGAGCTTGAGCAAATCTTCCATGACATCATTTGAGGAGACTTTTCTGAAAAAGACTTTTGGCTGTAATTGCTGCCAAAGGTGTGTTCACCAAATTGAGTTCACATGCCTGAATAATTGTACATTCAAAATATCTCTCATTTTTCAAACAATTAGTTCTCTAAGGAGGCTCCAGTGTGAACATTAAGGTTTGACTAAAATATTCAAATGTGTATGCATTTTGCTTACAGAACAAGATGCCATAAGAGGGGCGTGAATAATTTTGCAAAGCACTGCAGAAGTTGTGAAACTTTTAAAGAACTGATATGAATTGTCAGCTGCATCTGTGATAGACATTTACACAATGTTAATATCTTTAAAATATTTTACTATTGCAGCAAATGCCGATAAAGCCTACAGAGAAAACAGTCATTGTTAGTTTTAAATCATGACTTTTCTTCAATTAAATTTAATTAAATGGTTATTTTTGGATACAATTTTCTTGAGTGTGAATCTTTCTTTACATTATTGCTAATGTTTGGAGTTGGATTTAATCTGAAAAAAAAAATGGAGTTTTCTTTGATTTACAACAGCTGACATATACAGTAAGTCATACAATATATAATGGAAATCCATTATTACCAGTTCATCATGGTGAATATTAATAATTGAATGGAAAACTATCTTACCCTGTATATGGTGCAGTGGTTAGCATTGTTGCCTCAGAGTGCTGGAGCCCTGGGTTTAATTCCAAACCTGGGCTGTTGCACTATGTGCAAAAAGTTTGTATCTTTTCCCTGTGTCTATGTGGGTATCCTCCCACAGTCCACAATAAAATCATACTAGTAGGTGTGAGTGTGTTTGTGTCTGCCCTGCAATGAACTGGCATCCCATCTAGGGTGTACCCTACTGTACCTTGCTCCTGTTGTTTGCTGACATACTGTAGGCTCCAGTGACCCTGAATTGCAAGAAGAGGTTAGGAAATGGATGGATGTAAGCTACTTCAAAGCCCTTTTTGAGCACATACTGTACTGTAATACACTACTAACAATATCTGCTACCAGTAATTTGTAGCAATTTCTGTACTTACCTATGATTGATCAATATTTTTTAATAAAATGCTGACAGTATTACAGTCAATATCGTAGCTTTTCAAGTTTATTATATTAACTGGGAGCAAAAATATCAGATTATCCACTATCGCTTCAGTTACTCTAAGGGGCTTTAATTAAGGGCTAGAAAGCAAATATCAGTAGCCTTGCCAACTCTCTCCATGCAATGTCGGCACAATGATTTTGCCAAATGACACCAATACACAAAAATTGCCAACAAGTACAGTTGGCCATATCTGACAAGTTTTAAGCCAACCCTGACTGGGTTGATGCGGTGTTGTAAAGCAAAGAGATGAAAGCTGTGCTGGACAGTGCTCTGCAAAAAATGATCCAGATAACACTTAAAAGAAACGTTGCCTACAGATGGGTTAAACGAAACTTTTGCTGTATATTATATACATATTAACATAACCTCAAAAGATGACTTCTATCTCCAGAATTAATTCTGGACATGGACATGCAAGTGTAAATTAAAAAGAAATGCTTTTATGACTAAACATAGGCAGTGTATAATGGGGTTGGGGTGGGGTGGCTTACTTTACATGCAAAGTTGTTGGTGGCTAAATAAACAATCCCGCCACTTCATGAAGCTGATTCCCTGAGCCTGGAATGGGTCTAGAAATGACTAGATCAGCATGCTCAGAGCACTGTTCTGTATCACCAACAGTCAAATGAACGAGATGGCTGAAGCTAGAAGATTACTGTGAATATCACGAACAAGAAGGTCACTTATAAAAGATAAGCCCACAGCTGTGTTTCACATGAAGTGCATTGTTAATGAAAGCCAACTCAAGTCAACTAGGAGACAGCAGTATTTGTAATTACTTCTGCATACCAGGATTCACTGAAACCTTTAATCACTACCTGAACTGCTCTAACACGCGGGCAGAAGCCACACTAATTAGATTCTCAAGACATTGATGCACTGCAACAAAAATCCCTTAGACTTTTGCTATAACTGTCATTTTTCCTGTGATTTTTTTGTAATGTTTAAGTTTGCTTGGCTTTTAAAACAACGAGAGAAAGCAGACAAAAACAACGGAGAGAAGATAATATGAAAAAAGTGAAGCGAAAGGAAGCACAACTCTAACAAAGATGAATAGGAGAGGAGAAGGAAGAACCAACAAGAAAAGAGTTGGGAAGAAGAATAATTAAGACAAAAGAAAGGAGAGACGTAGGGAGAAAAGAGAAGAAAACCACTCTGCCCTTCACCCCCTCTCTCTCTGGGTGGTGTCGTGGAGCAGATGTTGATGCTGGTTAAGGATCCTGCGATCACAGCTGGAGCGTCTGTCTACAGCTCCTTGTTAACGTTGTACTGTGTGATGGCACCGTGCCAGCTGTGCAGAGCCTGGCTGCTGCTGCTTCAGGCTGGAGAAGATGCGATCAAAGCACCTGGCACATCTGGGGGCAGAAGCAGTCTGTGCCAATCTGACAGCAGAGCAATTCAAATCCGACTTCTCCGTAGTTCTGCTGTGCATTGGCATGTGGCCAATCTGTCTGTTTAAAATCTCTTTTAAAGACTCTAGATTAAACTCCTGGAGGCTGCTCACACCAGTGAGGGCAGATTGCAAGGTTGCTGCTGGGGAGATTGTTAATGAATTAAATATATTCTAACACCACATTTGTGCAACATCATTTTAATATACAGATACATGTATAGATTGGCAATGAAGTCCGGGCAGCATGAACACAATGTGTTGTTTGTAAAAATATGCCTTTGTTAGTTGATTCTTTTGGAGGTCAACTGCCCTTAGGGCATGTAGTAAAAGCCTGGGTTTTAATGCTATACCAGCGCACATTTTCATTGCTGTTATTCCTTTAGCCTGCTAGTTTTTATGTGCACATCTAAGCAGGGATTAATAATTTAAACAACTTTCTCAAAGTTGCTAGAGTTCTCCGTGAAACTAAATTTCACACAAAAGTTTCATTTAAACCATGTATTATTTTCATGTAAGTATCCATTATATATTTATACATTTTTATATAATAAAAAATATAAATGGAATTTAATACAAATCAAGTCTTAAGTGTGAATAAGAACTACTGCTGTTTAGGCTAGTTTTAATTCCAACATTTTATCAATGACAATTACCCTGATCGCTGCATGTTTATCAAACCTGTTTGAGAATCAGTTCGCACTGCAAGGGGTTAATAATTATGGAATTCAGATTCTTCTAATTATCTATGTGCTGTACAGGTCATACATGATCAACAATCATTAGCTTTATCAGTTTGGAATAGATTGTGCAGATTCTAAAAAGTATGTAAAAGCCCTATTCCCAAATGTCATGTTTGCAAGATCAAATAGCATCAAAATGTGGAAACCTTATATGGGAGAGAATACCTCTGTATGGCACCCTACATGACAACTGTATCTTCAAAGCTGTATGGTGCTGCACATTCTGTAAAAGCGTACAGTACTTATTTTCCATTTCCTGAGCTTATCCTGTCACACTCTGTAAGTAGCTGCAGTAACAGTAATAACAATGAACAATTTGATGTGCTATAAGCATACTGTTAATGTACAATGGTATCTAATGACACTGGGAATGGATAAATCTGCTGTCGTTTCCCGTTTCCTTCCCTCACACCCCGGTTCTGCTGCTTTGGTAGGAGCGAGCCGAGTCGAACCACAGGCGCTCCACCACCTCCTTGCCCATCTCCCACAGCTGCGCCAGGAGAGTCCCTCCCTTGCGCGACGTGATCATGAGGTACTCCTCATTCTCCGGGTCCTGGAGCACGGTGTGCCGTGCCCTCACCAGGGACTGGCAGAAGCGGCACAGCACCAGGAGGAAGACCACGTCCCGCTCCTCCTCAGTCAGGGGTGTCACGCTCTCGTAGCCCGCCAGCACAGGCCCGCCCACCTCCATGGGCGTCTGGCTCTCAATCATCATGTACATGATGGTGATGGCCACCTCGAACACAAGGCAGCCCCAGCTCATGTCCCCGAAGTCCAAGATGCCGGAGATCCGGTAGCGCTTCTGCAGCTGCTGCCCTTCCGAGCTGATGAGAGCGCCCTCCGCTGGCCCATCAGGCTCAATCAGAATGTTGTGGTCATTGAAATCCCCATGGAGTATACCTGCGGTAAAAGAACGGGCAGTGTAACTGGAAATGTCTTGATTGGTTTTCATCCATGTTGTACTTGCTCAGCACATACAGTAACTGCCTATTGGAACACAACAAAGCAACAGGCCAAGGGTACAGCACTAGGACAATGAGGACAGAGTAAGCGCAGACATTTCCTCTGATGTGGCTCTGTAGGTGGACACATGCCTTGGTAAGCATCAAGCTCCATGGAGTTGGGGCAACTAAGAGGTGCAGCACTAATGTCACTCTCACTAACATCACGTCAAGCTTACAAGTATTCAGGAATTTGGAAGAATCACTGTTGCCCCCAGTATCACTCTACCGATTGTGCACCACTGTCTGGGAATTTCCAGTCCCAGTCAGTGATATGAGCAAAGTCCAAACTCTTCACACCTCCCTGGACAATAGAGCTCAATTTTTAAATGCTTAACTGTGGCCCACAACAGCTCTAGTACTAATTTGAATTAATATATGAAAGGCTTCTGTTAAAAATGTGAATTTCAGATATTAAGGGTACTGTAATTGAATACCCAAATTCTGGATGGGTCTTTTTTTTAATAAGAAACTTCAGTCAAAAATGAATGCACTTCTGCCACATTTTAGATCATAAGCAGAAAACATCAGTTTTCGGGTGTTTTTTTAGGGGATGAAAGCATCAGTTATGCAATTCTGTAGTGTGTGAACTCACTGAAACTACTCCTGTGTTACACCTGAGGAAATACTGTAGACCTATACAGAATATTTCTGAATCCTTCCATCTCAGCCTAGGGCAGTTTATAAGACCTCAACAAGATCGGACTCTCGGTTGCTAACATTGGTAGCTGGAATAAGACTGTTCTAAGTAAGACTCTGTGCAAGTCAATCTAATTCATCTAAAAATGAATCCGGAGATGTGAAAAGGATACCATGACCTGGACATTCCACTGCCCTCTACTTCAAAACCCAATGTGCAGCAGGTCTAAAATGGAGAGGAAAAAAGGATGGAGAAAAGCTCACATTGTCGGAAGGAGCCAAGTCGGGGTTGGATCTGGCGCTTGTACAGCTGGATGACGTTTCTCACCACATGCTGAATGGGGTCTCCGTCCATCACGAAGAGGTAAGACTCTATCAGAGGAACACTGTAGAGGCTCCAGAAGAAATTCTCCCGCTTCAAGCTCTGGAGCTGGGGATGTTCCATCTGGAAGAACATGTATTAAACATATCCAATTGCATTGAAATTGTGCTTTTCTTGTGCCGACGGCATAAATATCAAACTTCTGTATAGCTATCTATGCTATAAAGGCACGATTAACCAAGCTGGCACAAACATCCAAACATCAGTTTTTATGTTTGGTGTTCTGTTGCAATTGCATTCTCTTGGTCAAGGCTGTGAGTTCTCAAGAATTATGTGGACTACAGCTCCTTCTCAGATCACATGCAATTGAGCTGAGAAGTTCCTGTCTTTTTCAGTCAGTATTGTAACTGGTCAGTAACAAAAATTCTCACTGTAGCAGCCAGGACATTGAGAGGACTGTTTTATCAGCCAGCTTCCCACTACAGGCTGTTTAAGACCTCTGTTACCTAGAAGAAGTCTCACTAGGTGGTGATGCACAATAATTAAAGGGTTTAGAAGCCATATTCGCAGATGGGGCATCATAGTAATGTCTATTATATAAAGAGCTCATAGGGTAATGGGTTTTAGGTTGTTTTATGTTTCTGAACTCTACCCCTAGCACTGGCTCACACAGATGTGTTTTTTTTTCCTCTAAGATGTACAGTATGTTATGTAACTTGTTGCTGCTGCTGTTCTGTGTTTATGTTTTTGGTGTTTCCTTAAAGTCTTGTCTAGGAGCATACATGCAAATAAGCATTTCATTGCATTTGTGCAGATGACAATAAACTGAAACTGAAACAGAGTGAGTGTATTTGTAATAAAGTTCACATTATTAAAGACTTCAGCTGCTCTTCCAAGCTCATTGTGAATTTGTAATGTGCTCCGACACCTTGAGCCAGTTAACTTATGTTGAGGCCTGTCTTACTCATAAAAGTGTCAAATAAGTGCCCACTGCAACATTTTACTGCAACTTACACAGCACAGCAGAATATGTCTCTAGGTTAAGAGTGAATTTGGTTCACAATTTGTGAAAAAGGTAATTGGAAAAGTTTAAAGGCTCAAGCTTTAGCAAGAATATTTTAGAATATTATATAATATTTTATATATCATATTTTAATATTACACAATATAGAATATTTGGTTTTATTATTAATTTTAGAGAATCAGGTTTAGGGTAGCTAGATACTGTATACAGTATAACACAGTGAAGCAAAGTTTGCTCTAGAAAAAAAGGCACCTTTGTTAAACTGGATTTTGATTAGCCAATTAAAAATAAGCCCAGCACAGCCGTACCCTTATCCTGGAAAAAAATTACAGTTGCATTTTGCTGCTGGACAGTTGTAAATGTGCAAAGTACATCTAGCATTCTAAAAACACAAATATAAAGTATTTTATAGCAAGGATCACCGATATAGTTTCAGCAGCCAGTCGAAGTGTGATGATAGATTTTTTTTTTAGCAGATGTAAATCTGACATATGAATTGGGTCAAATCAAAAAGTGTTTTGTAAATGGATATCTTTATAGCAATGCTTTGGGATCTATATTTTCATACAAGTAGTTCCTAGATTATCAGTCACTCTACTCAAGGTGCACAGAGAGCTTCTATATCTCTCTGTACAGCCTTCTTATCAGTATTATGGTATAAAGTGCAAAAATGCTTAGTTACTTATTAACCTTAGTTGGATTTCTACCCAAGAGGTGCACCAACAACTGCATTATGAAAATACTTCCACTTTTCTCTAGAGTAACATCTCCAGAGTTTAACATGCATGAGGCTGAGTTATCAGTCAGCTGGGGTTTTGTCTTGCAGCTTCCACAGGTCTTGCTTGTTTGGATTTGCAAGGCCTCAGTGCAATAAGCAGTACCTTCAGCAAGGCTCTGTTGAGCATAGCAGCCATTCTCCCAACCTCGTAGAGGATCTGTGGTGTGCTCGGGATCTTAGCAACAGGGGTCCCTGGCAGGTAGGTCAGTAACCGCACGATGTACCCCTTACTGCCTGAGCCACAGTCTGCCAAGAAAGACAAGATCATCTTTAAAATGGTGAGGACGGTTTACAAAAATCCTGGTGGTGTTCTCTTGACCCACTGCTATTATACTGGTAGGGCTACCATTTGGGCTCATACGAACCGGATGCTTTATGGAAAAAATGATTTGTAACTTTCTAAATTGAAGCAAGTTAAAAAGTGATGAAAAGCATTTGCTAAATAGACACTGCTAGATGTTAACAGCAACTTGGTAGTGCTAAAATGTCATATGTACTCATTTCAAATAACTTTGTATTTTTTATTTTAATATATTCCCATTGCACAAGCCCATTTTAGGAATGTGTGCATTCTCTATTAATTAACACACAATGCCCTAAATCACAGGCTCTTTACAAGATGTCTGTAAACCCGATCAGCTGTTCAGACCATCAGATCTGCTTAAGCTTTGGCTGACAAAAAGAGAATCAGTTATAGAATTGATTGCCACTCAATGTACACATTGCTTCGATTTGGAGCCAACATGAAACACCCATCCTGTCTGAAACAATTTAGTTGATCTGGAGTAGTTGGCAGGCTCTTCTTTCAAGGCTTTTCACTTTGTAAAGATGTTATTGGCATAGCATTCAAAGCTCTTTAGAAATACTAGGCTTAGAACAATGTCCAAAATTTCAGTTCCTTGGCATTCAATGATTACAAATTAATCTCCAACGTGTGAAGTGTGTTGAAAATCTACTGCCAAAAACACACTCTGAGCTGTTGCTTAAAAGCTGTGACTGTGAACCAGTACAATAACAGAGATCCAGAGCAACACGCTGATTTATTTTCTAAATATTGTTTCCATTTAAATCAATAAGGGCCCAAGAATGGAAGAACCACTGGTTCACCTCTTGAGTGAAACACATAGTAATTAGCATTACAGCAGCAAGCTGTCAATCCATGGAACAGCAAGGTTTCATCACCACTTGCAATGTCACAGAAAGCAGCCTGAGGTTCAGTCAAAGACTGACAGCAGCGAGCTGTCAGGAAAACTGTTGCATATTTTCTTGCCTGAAAAATACCTGTGCACAGGACCGTAAACAGTGATATCCTTAACATGTATTTTAAGAGAGTTTCTACCACTGGATTCTAGGAAATCAGAAAATTTGGTGAAGGTTTTTATTTTTCTAAACTTTTCATTTGTTAATGCCGTTAGCACCTATACAGGGCTCTTAAAAGTTATATAAATAACTTTAAAAGTTATATTTTATATAACTACACTGAGAAAGGCTGTTTAAACCAAAGCAACCTATAATTATCCCATCATGTTCATTTGCGCAATCAATTCCTATTCTAGTATACTGTATGATTGAAAAGGACTGCTGGATCAACACAGCCCTGTACCTGTCCTGTCTGGATGTCTTACCGATGGTCTCCAGGCTCATTGTCTCTCCACGCTGGGTTCTGGCTACAGAGGACGTGGGGAGGCCACACTCCCGCAGGAACATCATGGTGTGGGTCTGCACCTCGATTAGCCCGCTATTGTGGCTGTCTGCCGAGTTCATGATCTTCAGGACGTACTCTCCGCCCCCGCTCTCCGCCACGTGGAAGTTCTGATCGTCGTAGCTGGGCAGGGGGCGAAGGCTGTCTACACGCAGCCCGAAGACGCGCTCCACCAGCTCCCTGGCCTGAGCTTCACTGAGATGGGGTTTAGGGAACTCTGTGGACATGTTACCCTGGATATAAGGGGGAAAATCAGTCAGGTGACAATTTAGAAAACAGGGAGTTGTGACTTCTGCATTGTTCTACATCTGCCATCTGGTGGCAGAGTGCAGATCCAGTGCTGTGAATACCAGCAACAGCTCAGAGCTCTCTATTCAGCTCGACTGCCTTGCTTTGAATAAACCCACATTAGAATAATGATTAACAATTGCTTACACTTATATAGCGCTTTTCTGGACTCTCCACTCAAAGCACTTTACAGGTAATGGGGACTCCCCTCCGCCACCACCATCCACTTAAATGATGTGACGGCAGCCATAGTGCGCCAGAACGCTCACCACACACCAGCTATCAGTGGGGAGGAGAGCAGAATAATGAAGCCAATTCATAGATGGGGATTATTAGGAGGC